TGGGAAACCCACTAAGGCATAACCACGCGCCCTCTCTGAGCCGCAGTTTCCTCTTGTCTCACTCAGGGTTGTCGGAGACTGTCTGCCATGCTCCTTGGCCCCTAGTATGTGCTCAGTGAATTACCTGGCAGAGTGATTAGGGGCAGGGGACATTCGAAACACACCCATCCGTTGTTATCTGAGTCGTTTAAACCCTTATCAGAATCTATGGATTCCTGAGATTTGATGACGTAAGAGTGTGTAAGTAGCGAGTGTATACGTTTCTTGTTGCCGCTGTAACAATAACCACGAACGGAGGTGGCTTAAAAGCGACAAAAATTAGTTATTTTACGGCGCCTGAGGTGAGAAGTCCCAAATAGGTTTCGCTGGGCTAAAATCAAGGAGAGCATTCCTTCTGGAGGCTCTAGGAGAGAATCTGTTTGCTTGCCTTTTCTGGCTTCTAGAGGCTTCCCACACTCCCTGATTTATGTTTCCCCGCCCCCATCTTCAAAGCCATCGACAGCAGGTGGAGTCCCTGCCACACGGCCCCCACAGGGTGTACTGAGTGAGGAGCAGGCCCCAGGCTTTGGGGTCATTCAAACTGGCTTTCAGTCCCTCCTCCACCAATTACAAGCCTGCTGGCTCTGAACAAGCAAGTGTTCCCATCTGCAAAATGGGTGGTTGTTAGGAGGGAGGGATGTAGCCAGAGTAAGTGCCTGGCACCTGGTCAAAGGCTCAACACGGATGAGTGACCCCCACCCCCACCCCCCAGACAGTTTAGTTTCCAGCTCGGGCCTTTCTATGCCAGGCCCTGGCTATTTCTAGGTGTGGGAGCCCCTCTGTTTCTGCCCCATGCTGGGGGCACATGCCAGCAGGGCTCCTTCCCATTCCCTCCAAAGAGGGGGGGGGCTCATTTTTGAGGATGTGTGCACCAACTGGGAGGGGGGCTGGTACCAGCGGCTCCGCCAGGCTGGTGTTTGACCTGGAAGGTTCTTGGGATCTCAGGTGGCTTGAGGGGTGGGTTATCTCTGTCCCCTCAGCCATAAGAGCCTGCAGCTTCCCTGTTCTGCTGTTCTCCTGACAGGGTGGCCCAGTTTCCCCCATCTCTGCCTCTTACTGCCTCTGGCCCTGCCACTGACTGCTCTACGTTCTCTCTCTGTCACTATCTAAATGCCCCAAGAGGGACCACCTTATTGGTTCGTTTAGTCCTGCCATGGTCCTCACTGTTGGGGTTCAGGTTTCTCTCTGATGGTGGATGGATCTTCTCTCGATCTGGAACCTTCATTTCCAGCAGGCCCCAGAAGAATCTTGGATTGACATTGAATTGATTTGGCATTGACCTTGATGTGACCTAGTCTGGGGATGGGGGTGCACACTCCTCCCCATGTGCCATGGCAGACCTCATGCTTCAGTAATGCCTCTCTCTCTCTCTAGCGGAGCCCAAATGTTTCAGTTATTTATCTGGACATCAAACCACTCCGAAATGTAGTGGCTCGAAGTGACTTATTTGTTCACGATTCTGCGGTTGGACGGGGTTCTGCAGGGATGGCTCATCTGGTGTCGGCTGCACCGTTCATGGGAGGCTCTCAGCCAGGAGCTTGACTAGGGCTGGGACGGGTAAGATGATGTCATGTCCTTCCGGGACTTGTGCTGTCTCTCTCCGTGTGGCCTGTCTTTCCAGCGGTGCTGCCTCAGTTTCTCTGCCTGGAGGCTCAGGGCTCTGGGACAGCGAAAGCAGAAGCTGCCAGGCTTCTAGAGACCTAGGACAGTGTCACTTCTGCCACATTCTGCTGGTCACGGAAAGTCACCAGGCCAGCCCAGATTCAAGGATAGGAGAAAGAGAGCACAGCTTTTGATGGCGAGAGTGACATGTGAGTACTGGCGGTGGGGTGGGATGTTAGAGTCCGTCTTTAAAGACAATCTACCAACCAGGCTTGATCTTAAAACCCAGCGGATGGCAACGGGCATCTGAGATAATCATTTGTCATCCCTGAGCTAGGTTACACTCTTGCTTTTTAGATGGGAAGACTGAAGCTCAGAAAGGGAGAGGGACTTGTCTAAAAGAGCACAGGGAGGCAGCGGGAGGGAGAGTGTGGAGCCTCCATGCCTCACCCACTGCACGCACAAGCACTTGCTGAGCACTGACCATGGGCTGGGAGCATGGGACACAGGGGGGAACAAGTCCTGCCCCACGCGGGAAGACAGGTGAACGAACAGCGAAGGCACATGGAGCCAGGAGGTTGCCTTTAATGTCGGGGTGCTCCCGGGTCACAACACCCCTGACAATTCCATTCATCGTCTATTCGAGACATCTATAAGGGAATCCCGGGCCGTTCGGGCTTAGGGCTTATTGTCAAGCACGCTGGCGCCGATGCCTGCCTGCCACTCCAGCCCCGAGTTCTGCAGGGGCCCAGCGGAGGCGGCCTTCACCGGGAAGCCAGGAAATACTGCTTCCAGAAGGAAGCATGGGTTTGAGCCGGGTTCAAAGGACCAGTTGGCCTTGAGTTGCCTGGAGGAGAAGCTGGCCAGAAGTGAGAGACATCTCGGGCCGGGAGGGCAGCGTGAGTGGAGCCGTGGAGACGTGCAACGTGTGCAGGATGTCTGGGGTGGCGGGTGGGAAGCGGGGAACAGCAGGAGGGAGTCTGGATGCGCTTTGGGGGCTCGAAGGCCCCACCCAATTTCCGGGTGGTCTGATCCATTTCATGTCACCGGAACAGCATCCTGTTGCCTCCGAGCCTTGCACTTTTCAAATTCAGTTGATTAAACTTGAACATTTGGACAACAAAAGAGTGCAGACGACCCGAGGCTAATTGAGTTTAAAGTTCCGACTCAGCAGCGGGCATGTTGGTTTGCGACTTTATCTCCCGGCCTGTCTGGCCCATAAACCAGCTTAGACAAGAGGGTCTTTCCCTCCATCGGTGGCTTTCCTGATTGAATGGTGGGTCCCCGCCTGCCACTCCCAGGGCTCGCTGGCGGCTACAGACACAGAGGCTGGGAGGAAACGAGGTGTTTCCTTTAGCGCTAAGGACAGTCGACTTAGGGTGGCACCTTTGGTCTGCCCAGGGTGATTTGGGGATGTCTTTCTGGAAGGAGGCAGGTTGCACGGCTGTCTGCTGGAGCCAGACTGAGCGGGGCTGGCATTAAACGGCCCACGGGCCTCCCCGCCACGGGGCACAGGGCAGACTGACGCCAGGAGCAGGTCTTCAGGGAGTGCGGGTGATTTCCAGTCTCTTTTATGGCAGACTCGACTCACAGGGGGGCCTCTTCCACTGTCAGGGGTCTGGGTCAGGAAGAAAGAGAGCCTCCCTCGGGTAAGACTGGAACGGCCACCCCGTGGGTGGAGGCGGCCTCTCTGCTGCCTCGCAGACCTCTTTGGAAACCCACAGCTGCCTCTTGCGGGCTGTGTGTCCTCGGAAAAGTTGCTTGACTGCTCTGGGCCTCGGTTTCCTCAACTGTAAAGGGAGGATCGCAAGGGGGCTCTCCTCGCTGGGGTGTCGAGGGGCTTAAACGAGATCCCGTGTGGCCTGGAGTTGGGGCTCCAGAAACAAACTGTGGCCCCAGCATGGGGGAGCTGGCCGGCTGGTGAGGGGACACAGTGGCTGGGCTGTGAAAGGCTGAGAAATGGTGGTCGTGGGGCAATGCTAGGGCCGTAGTTTCGCCCAGATCTTTCCTTTCTGTTTCCTGCCTCTGCTAAACCACGCAGCAGGGGTGGGGGGATGCGGGGCCTTTCTTTGCTCTCCCCTTCTCTCCCACGAAAAGTCCCCCTGCGAGCAGGCTGGCCCCAATCCACACTCGGCCTCATCCCGCTCTGGCAGCTCCTCCTTCCAGGAGTCTTTTGTGCCGTTTCCACGGCCCCAGGGGACAGGTAGCTGTCACTATCTGAGTCCAGGCTGGGCTCCCGCCCAATCCCACTTCCTGCCTCCAAGAGTGTCCTCTGGGGCGGTCACACCTCTCCGACCCATCACGGCGGACTACTTATAAACCGGACACCCACCTGCTGGCTTCGAAGACACTCTCCAGGAGCGTGAGAGGCAGGGCCTGCAGTCCCATTTTACAGCTGGGGAAACTGAGGCCCCCAGAGAGCACATGTGCTCACTCGCTCCCTCATTCTCCAAATTGTGATGTCTTTATTGGCCACCATCCCTCTCTGCCTTTGAAACACACCTGCCCATCGGCGGCGGCTGTAGCTCTCTGGAGCACAGAGTTTGGAGTTTGGGTTCGAGTCCCGAGTACCTTGATTATGGGCTGGATGATCTTGGATCAGTTTCTCTCTCTCTCTCTGCATCAGTTTCCTTATTTATAAATTAGGTGGCTGGGCACGGTGGCTCACATCTGTAAGCCCAGCACTCTGGGAGGCTGAGGCAGGAGGATCGCTTGAGTCCAGGAGTTTGAGGTTGCTGTGAGCTAGGCTGACGCCACGGCACTCTAGCCCAGGGTGACAGAGCGAGACTGTGTCTCTAGATAAACAAATGAATAAATAAATAAATTAGAGGTGACGATAGAATCTTCCATGAATTGTGTGGCCACAGACTGTCCCTACGGCAACCACAGTACCACTGCACAGTAGGCTTTTGTGACGGGGCTGTCACTTCGTCCTCCGTGGGTGACTCCCCAGTCTCATGGCCCCTTTCCCTCGGAAGCCTGTTGGGCCAGATGCCCAGCTGGAAGGCAAGGCAATAAACTCACGCACACTGAGCTGTTCGCAACTGACGGCAGCTTGCGGGAGTGGGGTGTTTGCGGGCCGGGTGCCTTAAGCCAGCACAATGCCCGTGAAGGTGGATGTCCAGGCGCAGTGGACACAAGGCGAGGGGACCCTTTTGGCCAGGGATCTTCCCGGTGGCAAGCGAGCTGCAGCCTCCTCTCCTCCAAGGACCTGGGGACAGGAAATTACCGAGCTAATTTCATAGGAGAAGTTTATGGTTCCAACTTCCTCACACCTCTACTGGGGCCTCACTGTCCCTCCCTTTTCTTGTAGACAGAATGACCGGAATTGGGCTGACTTTTTTTTTTTTTCCCAAAAGATGACAAAGCCACATATTAGCAGAGCTCAGAGGATTAGGGCAGGCCTGGGAGGCCATGGAAGCCGTGTTGCAATCTTGGCATAACCACGTCTACACTGCCCGCCCACCAGCCTTCCAGACAGAGCCTGGGAGGAGAAGTGGTTACCCCAGCTGCGTCCTGTGCCCTGGACGAGGAGCCTGGGGTCCCTGTCACTCTCTGCTGAACTGGTAACACTGTCCTCCAACCCACGGGCCTCCCTATCTGCCTCGCGCAGGTGTCGGGAGAGGGTGGGGCTGGCGGGCGGGCCAGGGTGGGAGAGGCGCATCTCGAGCAGGTGGGCTTGGAGAGGCGGGGTGGCCAGGCGGCTGGAGCTTCTGGAATCCGAGCGCTTGGCTGCAAGTTGCTTGACTTCCTTGCTATGTGGTCTTGGTTTCCTCATCTGCAAAATGGGGTTAAGAACAATCCTGCCTCACAGGTTGTGGGGAGGGGCAGTGGGAGATGGATCTATGGGACGCGGTCCTTTCCTTCCCTTCCTTCCCTCCCTCCCCTCCCCCCCCTCCTCCCTTCCCCTCCCCTCCTCCCCCTGCCTCCCCTCCCCTCCCCTCCTCACTTCCTCCCCTTCCCTGATTTCCCTTCCCTTCCGCTTCCTTCCTTCCCTTCTTCCTCCTTCCCTCCTTTCCTCCCTCCCCTCTCCTTCCTCCCCTCTTTCCCTTTCCCTCTCCTCCTTCCTTTTCCCTTCCCTTCCCTCCCCTTCCTTTCCCTTCCCTCTTCTCTTCCCTTCCTTCCTTCCCCCGCCTCTCTCCCTCCATCTCTCCCTCCCTCCCCCTCTTCTTTCTTCTTTCTTTTTTCTTTGTCTCAGGTGTTTAAAAGGGGAGAAGCTAGGACGGGGAGCTGGAACTGGGCTCACAGCAGCAGGAGCGCAGCTAGGGCCATGCAGGGAAGCCCTAGTGGGTGCACGGCGCGAGCTGCCTTCTCACCAGCTAACCCCACCCCTAGCCGTGGCGTGGACTTCGTAAGAAGCTCCCGGCTCGCGTGCTTGTGGGACTCCGGGAAAGTTGCTTCACCTTTCGAGAGGTGTGCCCCTGCGGGGGCTGCTCCTCAGGCGGTGGGGAGGGGCAGGGGTGAGATGAAAGGAGCTGTGGTCCCAGGCAGGCCCGGGACATGTTTCTGGGACCGCCTGGAAGGCCTCCCTGGTCCCCCCGGGGGTGGTGGCCAGTGGCCTGAGCCGGCCGTGGTCTCCCAGAGGTCGAGTGGAGCATCTTTGGGCAAAGCCAAGCCCCTACCTGTTCCTGATGGGGGGTCGGGCGCCAGCGGGGTTCTTGGCGGTCAGACTGGAGGCCGTGGAAGGAAGCGCATCTCGGCTGCCCGGGAAATGCACCCGGCCGCCCACCACCCTGCGCCCAGCGCACTGTGAGCGCTGGACAGCGCTTGCGGAGGAAGGAAGAGCAGCGGGGGGCACAGACCTGGGGGGCAGGATCTCTTTCCCTTAGGGAGAAAGAACCAAACCCTCACTAGGATCATTTTGAGATCACGCGTTTTATTTTTAAGACACATAATATTATTTTGAGGGTATATACTTAAAAACAACAAAAAAAGCTTGAGAATTTTGCATTCCGTGCCAAGGTAGACCTGTGCACTGAAAGATGGAAACTGAGGCCCTGGAAGTCCTGGGTCAGCTCTGGGGCAAGGTGCCCAGTCTGCGCTCTGGCCTCCCGTCCAGGCAGCTCATTTGGGCAGACTTAGGGCAGAGCATTCATGGATCGTCAGGTCTGAAGGGGGTGCTCACAGATGATGGGGTCCTCTTCTCATCTTTCTGTTGTGTATAGAGGAAATCGGAGCACAGAGAGGTTTAGTGACTTGCCTGAGGTCACACAGCTGGTAAATGGTTTTAACCACACCACTTGAACAGAAGCCACTTCAGTGAGCCCTGTTCCCATCTGCCCTCCGACATTTGTGGCTGGGCAGCTGGGACATGTTTCCTGGACAACTGAGACATGCTTCCTTCCATAGCCTTGATTCTGATCCCAGCCGGCTCCCAGAGGGCAGAAACCAACAGGAGCCCAGCCAGCACCTGGGACAGGTAAGTGCTTGGCTTTGCCCAGAGAGGTAAACTTTGCAGTCCCCAAGCTGAAGCCCTGGAGGTCTGGCCTGGACGGGGTCTCTGCCAGGCTGGTGACCTGCCAAGCCTAGATGGTGACCCACTGGTCTCTCTGGGACTGGAAGTAGCCCCGTGTGCCTCTCGTCCGAGGCCCTTGGCTGTGGGGCCAGCCTCTTCCCCCGCCGGCTTAGCCACTGCCAGTCTCTCCTCTGGGCTCCTGCTCCACGGTCTGCGAGGCAGCCAGGAGTTGGCGGGGAGCCTAGAACCCATTTCCAGAAGAGCAGACTGAGTCCCTAGATATGATGTCCGAGAGAGAGGCCTGGTGTCCGGTCCCACTTCTCCAGCCAAGTGGGTCCATGAGCTCGGGCAGAGACTATACCCCAGGTCTTCCACGCTGGGCCAAATGGCGCCTTCCAGCTCCTGGTCACCTGAAAGAATCAAAGGCTCGCAGCTCAGAGAGGGGTAGAAACCCGTGCAGAGTCACTGGAAATTTGGAAGCAGAGTTGGAACTGGAACCTGGTTCTTCTGCCTCCCCGGCGCCTTGTTTGTTCCTCAGTTTCCCTCGGGGAAGCATTCAAGGACTGGGGTTTGGATGGGGGAACACAGAGCTCCTCTTTGGGTCTCAGTTTCCCCTGATGTCAAACAGGAGGGCTGACAACCCCAGCCCACGGAACTCAGTCCGTCTGTGGCTGAGTTTTTACCAGTCTGCAGAGAAACGATAAAAGAAAAAGTGCAGTCCAGAGAGTGACCTTTCCATAAAGTGAAATATCTTCATCTGGGAAAGTTGAGTCCGGGTCCCACCTATTTTTGTCGCCATTAATGTGTCGTTTCTTCTCTGAAGCAGCGGGGAGGGTGAAGGACGGGTTTCACTTTGCGATGTCCTTACTTGGCAAACGGAGAATGGTGGCAACTCCATGGCAAGTCTCAAAACTCTTTTGGGAATGTAATTGGTTCATGAAATCCCCAAACGTGATGTTGACTGAGTTAAAAAGGTCTCTAGGGCTGCTTTGAGTTCAGGGAGGGCCCGGGCGGGCACCGGCGGGCTGAGGGGGGGTGGATTTGGGGGAGGCAGGCGTGGAGGCAAGGGACCCGCTGTGAGAGCTGGGGGGCTACGCAGGGAGCAAGGCATCTGCACGCAGTAGGTGCTCAGCTGGGGCAATCGGCTGGAATGATTGCCTTGTGCAGGCGGGACTCATGATCCAGGAGAGAGGCTTGGCTGGAAGGGGCTGCGTGGGGAGGAGCTGGGAGAGGGGTATCAGGGTCTCTGTGGAGGTGGGGTACATAGAGGACAAGAAGGAGTCACAGAACATTCTAAGAGGCCCTGTAGTGGGTTCTGATCTGGATACCTGCCTTAGACGGGGTTTGCCAGGAGCCGAGCCTGAGGCCGTGATTTGGTGCACATAGCGTGCCCTCGGGCAGGGGCAGGGTTAGGGTGAGATGAGCCAGACACGAACATGCAAGGGTAGAGTGGGAGCCTACCTTTATTTGAAGTGCTGACATTGAACTCATCATGCATTGCTTTTGCATTCATTTTGATTTTTTTTTTTAAAATATTCCGTTACATTATTATCTGTCCGGGTTAGTGAGATTTTTGGCACCTTGCCCCTGAATCTGCACACAAGGCAGGTGCCCCCCCTGGCCTGGTCTCAGCTCTGCTCTCAGGAGAAGGGGAGGGAGGGGGAGGCAGCTGAGCGAGGGTGTGGCCTCAGCCCTGTCCCAAGGCGGGGACCTGGAATGTGAATTGTGCCAGTGCGGTTGGTCAGGGAGAGGTGGGAGAAGAGGGCAGCTGAGAGCTGTTAGCATCTGACATCCTCTGCCGCTGGGGGGACAGGTGCCCCTGCCAGTAAAGGAGACCCGGACTCGGCCCCAGTAACATCCACGGCAATACCCTTGGCTGTTCTTCGAGAGAGGGGAATGCAAATTTAAATGATTCCCCAGCGCTTTTGGCTACTGGACTGCGTTTCATTGATTACGACTGCTCTGGAGCTTCCCAAGTCCAGCCACTATTCCCCTCCCAGGATGAATGAAGACGCAGGAAGAGGGCGGGGCCAGTGTGGTTGTGGGCGTGGCCTGAGGGCCTCAGTTTCTCCCAGGCTGCTGGCTCCTGCCCCAGTGGGTCGGAGCTGGGGAGAGGAAGGGCAAAGTGGAGCAGATGTCTGTGATTATGGCCAAGGAGGGAGAAGCAGAGGGAGGAGGAAGAAGAAGGAAGGAGGGGGCTTTGCCTCCCGGGTAACGAGGCGTGTGCCAGGCTCTCGGGAGACGGGCTGGCTCTCGGGGCTCCTTTCCTCACCTGCGGGGCCGGGGTGGTCATCAGGGCTGTTGGGAGGCTGGGGCGCAGCGAGGGACCCGGAGGGCTGGCGGCGACGGTTCCCACAGCTTGGGCAGGCGGCAGTTGCAAGGGTCTCTGCTCGAGGCTACGGACAGCAGGGCTCGGACCTGCGTCAGCACATGCGTCACGGGCAGTGGTCTTGGCAAAGGGCAAGGCGGCCGGGACGGGGCACAAAGGCTCCTCTGTCAGCACTTGGGGCCCGTGGGGAGGCAGGTGGGGAAGACATGAGTGCTACAGCAGGAGACGGGGACCCTGCCTGGAGGTGGGGTGGGCACCCCGTCACTTGCCAGGCCTCGCTCTTCCTGAGCCATGGGTGGGGCTGGAAAATTCCTCTGGATTCTTTCCTGAGGGGCCGGGGAAAGTTGGGATCAATGCACGGAGGGGCGGGGTGTCTCTGCACCCCGGGGGTGTGGCCACTGTTTAATTTTTAAACAGAACAAAAGCACAAAACAGCTTCAAGCCCTGGCAGCTGCTCAGGGCTGCTCGGGGCCACCTCTGAATGTGGTTCCTTGTGGGCGCAGGCTCTGGCCTCCCTGGGATCGGGGACAAGCTGCAAACCGGCTGCTGGCTGGTCGCTGCCCTGCCCTCCAGCAGCCCGGCTGGCTGCTTCTCTGGGGACCTACACATGTCACATCTGCCCTTTGCAATTGATGAGGGGTCTTCAGGCATAAATCTCCTCCCTCACGCTGTAGATAGTGTCGACACCTGCAAAATTCTTTCCTGATCCCCGATCCCCTCTGTGGCCCCGGGAACAATTATCATCTCTTTTTGATAAATGTGGAAACTGAGGACCAGGAGTTGGAACCGCTGGAACAGCTGGGTATAAGAACCAAGGTTCTCTGACCCCCCACAAGACCTCCTATGACAGACTTGGCCCGGGTTCTATGGGGACCACAGTCTAAGTGGCTTTGAAGGATATTCTTGATGGATCGAAACACGGCATAGCCCGTGCAAAGGGAGGGCTTAAAACTCTCCTTATAAAAGATGAGTGAATGTGTGGGAAATGAAATGCATGCATGGTTAATTATAACATCGGAATACATACACAAGATTTATTGTAACATTGTAATAGTAAGAGACTGGAAGCAGGTCAAGTGCATGTCCTGCAGACTAGTTAATTAAATCTCGGCCAAGCCAGCAATAGAATACCATGCAGCCGTCAAAAAGGATGGGGTGCTTTTTATATGCTAATATGAAATCATCTCCAAAATATATTAAGTAAGAAAAGCCAGTTGCAAAATAGTGGTTTAGGATACTACTATGGATACAAAAGTGGAGAGAGATTAAAATATATATATTTGGCTTCTTTTTTTTTTTTTTGAGACTGAGTCTCACTTTGTTGCCCAGGCTAGAGTGAGTGCCGTGGCATCAGCCTAGCTCACAGCAACCTCAAACTCCTGGGCTCAAGCGATCCTCCTGCCTCAGCCTTCCGAGTAGCTGGGACTACAGGCATGCGCCACCATGCCGGCTAATTTTTTCTATATATATTAGTTGGCCAATTAATTCCTTTCTATTTATAGTAGAGACGGGGTCTTGCTCTTGCTCAGGCTGGTTTCGAACTCCTGACCTTGAGTGATCCGCCCGCCTCGGCCTCCCAGAGTGCTAGGATTACAGGCGTGAGCCACCGCTCCCGGCCAAATATATATATTTGTATTTGTCCGAAGCCACTCTGGAGGGAGGCATGAGAAACTAACACGAGAAGACAGGTGCAGTGGGAAGGGGGTGGCTGGTGGCAGGGTAGGAACAAACCTTTTCATTCTAACCTTTTTATATAGTTTTAGATGGGTTGGACATCACCAATTAGAGTTGTGTTGCCTAGCCAGAAACTTAAATTTAAAAAGCCAAATTAGAATGGTCAACCGGTTCCCAGGAGGCCAACAGCAGGTGTGATTATGTTGACAGTAAGTGTGTTATAAACTCTAAGGCCCTATGGGGTTACCATAGCGGTTTTCTCATTGGCCATCCCATGAACACGTTTGGGATTTTTACACCCAGCTCTGCCTGGCTCCAGCTTTCCTTGATGTCATAAGGCACCATAGTGGCTTCCTGTGGCCATGGGTGGTTGAGCCGATGTCCCTTGGCGGACCTGCCGTCCCATTCCAGGAGAATGCATGATCCCTGGGTGGGGTGCTGCAGTGTCCGGTGGGCTCTCTGTGCTGCTGATATCCACGCACGGAGAGGACCTGCAGATGGTAATGCCCAAAACCCACGCTCCATCGAGAACACGGCCCACCACGACTCTGCCAGGACCTTTCCAGGCACTGCCTCCAGCCGGCCACCCAGCCAACAGGCCACCTTTCCTGTTAAGACCAACCAGAGGCACCCGGGAGCTCCCATGGGCCATTCTGACCAGCGCCAGCTCTGACCGGTTGCCAGGTGGCTCCAGGTCCCCACCCCCGGCCACAGCCCTTCCCATTTCTACTGCGTCGCCACCACGCCCAGAGCTCTCTGGTCTTTGGGAATTTTGGAAATGCCCAGGGCCGCCCTTCCTGTGCTCGTAAACATGTGCAATGTCGCCCTCCCCCGGAAGGATGACCATTCATGGGCCCCGCCCTGCCCACACGGGGGTGGCGCCCTTTGGTCTTCCTGAACCTGCTCAGGGGTCAGCAGAAGGTTCCTTTTAGCCTCTTCCTCTTCCTCCTCCCGCCGGGTCCTTGTCCCGCGGATGTTTGTCTTTGCTGTGCCTTGCTCTTCTTCCCTCCTTTGCGGCTTTGTCCCCGTCACTCTGTCTCCCTCTTCTCGCCCCTCTGTGCGTCTCCTCCCGTGTCCCTCCTGCTCGTCTCTTGCTGTCCACGCTGAGGAGGTGTCCTCCTCTGCTCCCTCCTCTGGCCACCCCAAGCCCCTGTCCTGCTGAGGTCCGGAGTGCAGGGGACCCTTCCCCCAAACTCCTGGAGCCCAGGGGCAGGGCGGCTTTGTGGGGGTGGGCGAGCAGTGCGGCCACACCGGGCCCAGAAGTCCCCCACTTGGATTCATGCTCGGTGGTCGCCATCTTGAAGTCCTTAACATAGTAATTTTCTAATAAGGGTCTGCGTTTGCATTTTACAATGATCCCTGGAGGGTGTAGCCTGTTCCGCTGAGGGTTGTGCACATCCTGGGGGTGGGGGGGGGCACGGCCCCTCCTGGTGCAGCTGAAGGTGCTAGGACTGAGGTGCAGGGTCCAGTGCCAGTCCTGCTTCTGCTCCTCGTTCACCCGATAGTAAGGGAGTTGATAGACTTGGCCCCATTTTACAGATGAGATAAATCAAGGCTCAGAGAGGCTGTTTCACCTGCCCAAGGGCCCCCAGCTTGTGAGCCTGGCTTGAAGGAAGCTGACTTTGAAATCTTCGCGCTCTGTGACCCTTCTCAGCCTGCAACCTTAACAGCCTCGGAAGGGCACCTTTCAGTCTGTAAACTAAGGCTCAGTTTTTTGGGTTTTTTTTTTTGGAGACAGAGTCTCACTCTGTCACCCGGGCTACCGTGCAGTGGCGTCATCATAGCTCACTGCAACCTCAGACTCCTGGGCTCAAGCGATCCACCCTCAGCCCCTCTAGCAGCTGGGACTACAGGTGTGCACCAGCACACCCAGCTAAGTTTTTCTATTTTTAGTAGAGTCAAGGTCTCGATCTTGCTCAGGCTGGTCTTGAACTCACTCCTTCCTGGAGTGCTGGGATCACAGGCGTGAGCCACCACGCCCGGCAAGGCTTAGTCTTTGCACGTGGAAAACAGCTGTAACGAGAATAGCCACCTGTGTGCAGAACCCACCTGCATCGGAATCCCAGCCCCTGACGCAGGTGCCTGGCACACGGCTACCTTCCCAAGTCGTAGCCACTGCCTTTTCCATCCTCGGTTTCCTCATCTGCCTAACAGGGATCATGGTGGCACCTGCCTCCTGGGGCTCTTATCCAAACTGGGGCGCTTTGTGATCGAAAGAGGCATGCTCGATAAGTACATTAGGACAAGAGTCGTGAACAAAGATTGTCATGGGCAAACCAGGCTGGAAGGTCACTCCGCACACGGGCCATGCATGCTTGTGTCAGGATCATCCGTTTCACAAAGCATGCTAACAGACAAGCGAGTGTAATGACGCCCAGGGCCACCCCCAGCTGGCGCAGGGAGGGGTGTGTCCCAGCATTTGCCGTGGAGGACGGAGTGACCTATGCTGGCTCTGTTGCAGCCATCGGTTCTGAGAAACGACATCCCGGAGAATGACTCGAAGGCCTTGCGGTTCAGGCCTTTTCTCAGATATTCTAGAAACATGGCTTTCTCTGAAGTGCAGCCTGGGGCAGGGCCACTTGCTTAGACCAGCGGGGTGTTCCTGCCTCCCTTGAAACCCCTGGAAACTCGAGGTGGCGTCCTTCTGCTCCCAGCACCGGGAGCTTCGTAATCCCCCTGAGCAAGAAGCAGGTGACTCGTGGAACTGGTCCCCCCTTTTAGAGTGGGAGGCGGGGTCCCCTGCGTGGCCTCACCCGCTGCAAGCATTTAGGACATTTCTTATCACCTGCATTTCCCCCCTCGGTCCTGGCTTCCTTTTCTGTCCCCACCCATGTTTCCCTTCCTCCTTTCACTTTTAATTTATGTCCCCTCTGCAAGTGAGCCTTCCCCCCCGCCTTCTGTACCAAGCCAGTGCGCAAGCAAACACACACAGCGACAGACCTGCAAACTCCACGCCTGCTACCCAGCCCGGGAGAGCAGCTATGCTGGCCTGGAGGGGCCGGCTGTCAGGGGGTTAAGAATGACGTGGGGGACGTGTTGGCCCAGGTTAAAAGGAGGAAGTGGCCACTGCCTGGGGAGGAAGGTCACTGGCTTGTCCTTGGGGACCGCAGAGGGCTGAGCCAGGCCTGAGAAGAACGTGGCAGGTTGCTCAAGGTCATTTTAGTAAAAAAAAAAAAAAAAAAAAAGGAAGAACTTTCTAATGACTCAAGGAGTCTTTCTAGAACCGGCGTCCTCAAACTATGGCCCATCGAGGACATTTATCCGGCCCGCCG